GATTAAGTGCAAGTAGAATAAAAACAGCCCTTAAATTTCACCCCTGGGAGTGAAAATTGCTGATTCAGCAAATTTTGCCTGATCTGAGGGTAATAATGTTAAAATTTACCAAGAAAGTAAAATTTCTTTATTTTTAAGTAACTTGCAATACATTTTAAATTATAAAGTTTCGCTTTAACTTTTCGCAGTGTCTGACACATGTGCAACAACTGGAATTTGAGACGCGACATATTTTAGTTGCCTGTACGTCCTATAATTTTCACCGTAATAAATAAAGTGCATAATTTCTCATTTTTTCCCACACAAGTACAGCTATACTAGTTTTCTTCAGGTTTAATTTGTAGTTCTGTGGTAACATGACACCAGTAAGAGCTTTTTTGGAACTAGTAAGTGGTTAAGGGGTCCTTACTTATTCATTTAGCCCTCATATTTAGCTGAAATAGGGATAGCGTTAGGGGTTTCTTTACATTGACAAGACAATTTTTTGGACAAAGAATGTGATTATGATTGTATATCAGCAAGATTAAATAGTTTATTCATTTTCCATGCAAATGGCATTAATTGTTTTAATTTTCTGACACTGAAAAGCACAAAAAAGGTAAATTGATTATATAAGGGGACATAATTTAACTTTAATGCTCACATGAGAAATAGACAATCAGTCAACTTAGAGATGTATTCTAGTACATGTATAGTCAAAAAGATTTTAGAATAATAGTTAACTGCCATCTAAAGAACCTTGTTGTATTGCCTTCATAATCTGGAAATGCTTAAAGGAATGTAAGGCATGCTGTAAAATGTGGAATGGACTCTACTATCATTTTTCATGATTTGGTGCTTAAACTGTTTCTTTCAGTCAGATTAACTATAAATAGAGTTGGCAATCCAATAACTCCTCCTTAATCACCATGTTTTACTTCTGTGTTGATTTGAAACATCATATATTTGGGTTTTGTTCACTCCTTAAGTAAAAATGGTAAGATGAAAAAAAAGTGAAAATCTGCCAGCTGGGGTAGGGGTATAATCTTTAATATTTATTTGGTAAGAAATAAGTGCAGACTAGTATTCTTTATTGTAATATGTTTCCTAGTAAGAAGTCTATGCATCATAGGTGTCATGACTGTTTTCAAGTTTGTGATGTCTTGGTTAAGGTAGCACGGTAGTATTTGCATTCCGGAATTTAGGTTGCTCTTTTGTGTACCCTACCTAAGTCAATGTATCTGAACAGTGTGATTGGACAAAAAATACAGTATCAACTGAACATACTTTCCCAAACTGAGGGATGAATCAGATGTAGAAAAATGTGAAATAATTTTACATACAGGTGAAAATGAATTTTTGAGAATTTTTTTAATTTTTGTATTCACTGCATGATAAAAGACCTAAAAGCACTAGTGGCCTTAGGTTTTTAAAAATAGCAAAAAAAGTAAACGGTCATGATACATATTCAAATTTATTTCTGATTAGTATAATGAAAGTACTTCAGTTAACTGTGTAAGTAGAATTTTTCGCAGTGTTAGAAAGTGGTGAAAATCCTAAAAAGGCTATCATTATCCCTTATGGGCCAGGAAATGCTACCGTGCCACCTTAACTGGGATATATATGTTTACACTAAATCAATAAAGGTATTTTTTTTACCTATGCAATTTGTAATATTATCAATAAAAAGTTGATTAAGTGCAAGTAGAATAAAAACAGCCCTTAAATTTCACCCCTGGGAGTGAAAATTGCTGATTCAGCAAATTTTGCCTGATCTGTGGGTAATAATGTTAAAATTTACCAAGAAAGTAAAATTTCTTTATTTTTAAGTAACTTGCAATACATTTTAAATTATAAAGTTTCGCTTTAACTTTTCGCAGTGTCTGACACATGTGCAACAACTGGAATTTGAGACGCGACATATTTTAGTTGCCTGTACGTCCTATAATTTTCACCGTAATAAATAAAGTGCATAATTTCTCATTTTTTTCCACACAAGTACAGCTATACTAGTTTTCTTCAGGTTTAATTTGTAGTTCTGTGGTAACATGACACCAGTAAGAGCTTTTTTGGAACTAGTAAGTGGTTAAGGGGTCCTTACTTATTCATTTAGCCCTCATATTTAGCTGAAATAGGGATAGCGTTAGGGGTTTCTTTACATTGACAAGACAATTTTTTGGACAAAGAATGTGATTATGATTGTATATCAGCAAGATTAAATAGTTTATTCATTTTCCATGCAAATGGCATTAATTGTTTTAATTTTCTGACACTGAAAAGCACAAAAAAGGTAAATTGATTATATAAGGGGACATAATTTAACTTTAATGCTCACATGAGAAATAGACAATCAGTCAACTTAGAGATGTATTCTAGTACATGTATAGTCAAAAAGATTTTAGAATAATAGTTAACTGCCATCTAAAGAACCTTGTTGTATTGCCTTCATAATCTGGAAATGCTTAAAGGAATGTAAGGCATGCTGTAAAATGTGGAATGGACTCTACTATCATTTTTCATGATTTGGTGCTTAAACTGTTTCTTTCAGTCAGATTAACTATAAATAGAGTTGGCAATCCAATAACTCCTCCTTAATCACCATGTTTTACTTCTGTGTTGATTTGAAACATCATATATTTGGGTTTTGTTCACTCCTTAAGTAAAAATGGTAAGATGAAAAAAAAGTGAAAATCTGCCAGCTGGGGTAGGGGTATAATCTTTAATATTTATTTGGTAAGAAATAAGTGCAGACTAGTATTCTTTATTGTAATATGTTTCCTAGTAAGAAGTCTATGCATCATAGGTGTCATGACTGTTTTCAAGTTTGTGATGTCTTGGTTAAGGTAGCACGGTAGTATTTGCATTCCGGAATTTAGGTTGCTCTTTTGTGTACCCTACCTAAGTCAATGTATCTGAACAGTGTGATTGGACAAAAAATACAGTATCAACTGAACATACTTTCCCAAACTGAGGGATGAATCAGATGTAGAAAAATGTGAAATAATTTTACATACAGGTGAAAATGAATTTTTGAGAATTTTTTTAATTTTTGTATTCACTGCATGATAAAAGACCTAAAAGCACTAGTGGCCTTAGGTTTTTAAAAATAGCAAAAAAAGTAAACGGTCATGATACATATTCAAATTTATTTCTGATTAGTATAATGAAAGTACTTCAGTTAACTGTGTAAGTAGAATTTTTCGCAGTGTTAGAAAGTGGTGAAAATCCTAAAAAGGCTATCATTATCCCTTATGGGCCAGGAAATGCTACCGTGCCACCTTAACTGGGATATATATGTTTACACTAAATCAATAAAGGTATTTTTTTTACCTATGCAATTTGTAATATTATCAATAAAAAGTTGATTAAGTGCAAGTAGAATAAAAACAGCCCTTAAATTTCACCCCTGGGAGTGAAAATTGCTGATTCAGCAAATTTTGCCTGATCTGTGGGTAATAATGTTAAAATTTACCAAGAAAGTAAAATTTCTTTATTTTTAAGTAACTTGCAATACATTTTAAATTATAAAGTTTCGCTTTAACTTTTCGCAGTGTCTGACACATGTGCAACAACTGGAATTTGAGACGCGACATATTTTAGTTGCCTGTACGTCCTATAATTTTCACCGTAATAAATAAAGTGCATAATTTCTCATTTTTTTCCACACAAGTACAGCTATACTAGTTTTCTTCAGGTTTAATTTGTAGTTCTGTGGTAACATGACACCAGTAAGAGCTTTTTTGGAACTAGTAAGTGGTTAAGGGGTCCTTACTTATTCATTTAGCCCTCATATTTAGCTGAAATAGGGATAGCGTTAGGGGTTTCTTTACATTGACAAGACAATTTTTTGGACAAAGAATGTGATTATGATTGTATATCAGCAAGATTAAATAGTTTATTCATTTTCCATGCAAATGGCATTAATTGTTTTAATTTTCTGACACTGAAAAGCACAAAAAAGGTAAATTGATTATATAAGGGGACATAATTTAACTTTAATGCTCACATGAGAAATAGACAATCAGTCAACTTAGAGATGTATTCTAGTACATGTATAGTCAAAAAGATTTTAGAATAATAGTTAACTGCCATCTAAAGAACCTTGTTGTATTGCCTTCATAATCTGGAAATGCTTAAAGGAATGTAAGGCATGCTGTAAAATGTGGAATGGACTCTACTATCATTTTTCATGATTTGGTGCTTAAACTGTTTCTTTCAGTCAGATTAACTATAAATAGAGTTGGCAATCCAATAACTCCTCCTTAATCACCATGTTTTACTTCTGTGTTGATTTGAAACATCATATATTTGGGTTTTGTTCACTCCTTAAGTAAAAATGGTAAGATGAAAAAAAAGTGAAAATCTGCCAGCTGGGGTAGGGGTATAATCTTTAATATTTATTTGGTAAGAAATAAGTGCAGACTAGTATTCTTTATTGTAATATGTTTCCTAGTAAGAAGTCTATGCATCATAGGTGTCATGACTGTTTTCAAGTTTGTGATGTCTTGGTTAAGGTAGCACGGTAGTATTTGCATTCCGGAATTTAGGTTGCTCTTTTGTGTACCCTACCTAAGTCAATGTATCTGAACAGTGTGATTGGACAAAAAATACAGTATCAACTGAACATACTTTCCCAAACTGAGGGATGAATCAGATGTAGAAAAATGTGAAATAATTTTACATACAGGTGAAAATGAATTTTTGAGAATTTTTTTAATTTTTGTATTCACTGCATGATAAAAGACCTAAAAGCACTAGTGGCCTTAGGTTTTTAAAAATAGCAAAAAAAGTAAACGGTCATGATACATATTCAAATTTATTTCTGATTAGTATAATGAAAGTACTTCAGTTAACTGTGTAAGTAGAATTTTTCGCAGTGTTAGAAAGTGGTGAAAATCCTAAAAAGGCTATCATTATCCCTTATGGGCCAGGAAATGCTACCTTGCCACCTTAACTGGGATATATATGTTTACACTAAATCAATAAAGGTATTTTTTTTACCTATGCAATTTGTAATATTATCAATAAAAAGTTGATTAAGTGCAAGTAGAATAAAAACAGCCCTTAAATTTCACCCCTGGGAGTGAAAATTGCTGATTCAGCAAATTTTGCCTGATCTGTGGGTAATAATGTTAAAATTTACCAAGAAAGTAAAATTTCTTTATTTTTAAGTAACTTGCAATACATTTTAAATTATAAAGTTTCGCTTTAACTTTTCGCAGTGTCTGACACATGTGCAACAACTGGAATTTGAGACGCGACATATTTTAGTTGCCTGTACGTCCTATAATTTTCACCGTAATAAATAAAGTGCATAATTTCTCATTTTTTTCCACACAAGTACAGCTATACTAGTTTTCTTCAGGTTTAATTTGTAGTTCTGTGGTAACATGACACCAGTAAGAGCTTTTTTGGAACTAGTAAGTGGTTAAGGGGTCCTTACTTATTCATTTAGCCCTCATATTTAGCTGAAATAGGGATAGCGTTAGGGGTTTCTTTACATTGACAAGACAATTTTTTGGACAAAGAATGTGATTATGATTGTATATCAGCAAGATTAAATAGTTTATTCATTTTCCATGCAAATGGCATTAATTGTTTTAATTTTCTGACACTGAAAAGCACAAAAAAGGTAAATTGATTATATAAGGGGACATAATTTAACTTTAATGCTCACATGAGAAATAGACAATCAGTCAACTTAGAGATGTATTCTAGTACATGTATAGTCAAAAAGATTTTAGAATAATAGTTAACTGCCATCTAAAGAACCTTGTTGTATTGCCTTCATAATCTGGAAATGCTTAAAGGAATGTAAGGCATGCTGTAAAATGTGGAATGGACTCTACTATCATTTTTCATGATTTGGTGCTTAAACTGTTTCTTTCAGTCAGATTAACTATAAATAGAGTTGGCAATCCAATAACTCCTCCTTAATCACCATGTTTTACTTCTGTGTTGATTTGAAACATCATATATTTGGGTTTTGTTCACTCCTTAAGTAAAAATGGTAAGATGAAAAAAAAGTGAAAATCTGCCAGCTGGGGTAGGGGTATAATCTTTAATATTTATTTGGTAAGAAATAAGTGCAGACTAGTATTCTTTATTGTAATATGTTTCCTAGTAAGAAGTCTATGCATCATAGGTGTCATGACTGTTTTCAAGTTTGTGATGTCTTGGTTAAGGTAGCACGGTAGTATTTGCATTCCGGAATTTAGGTTGCTCTTTTGTGTACCCTACCTAAGTCAATGTATCTGAACAGTGTGATTGGACAAAAAATACAGTATCAACTGAACATACTTTCCCAAACTGAGGGATGAATCAGATGTAGAAAAATGTGAAATAATTTTACATACAGGTGAAAATGAATTTTTGAGAATTTTTTTAATTTTTGTATTCACTGCATGATAAAAGACCTAAAAGCACTAGTGGCCTTAGGTTTTTAAAAATAGCAAAAAAAGTAAACGGTCATGATACATATTCAAATTTATTTCTGATTAGTATAATGAAAGTACTTCAGTTAACTGTGTAAGTAGAATTTTTCGCAGTGTTAGAAAGTGGTGAAAATCCTAAAAAGGCTATCATTATCCCTTATGGGCCAGGAAATGCTACCGTGCCACCTTAACTGGGATATATATGTTTACACTAAATCAATAAAGGTATTTTTTTTACCTATGCAATTTGTAATATTATCAATAAAAAGTTGATTAAGTGCAAGTAGAATAAAAACAGCCCTTAAATTTCACCCCTGGGAGTGAAAATTGCTGATTCAGCAAATTTTGCCTGATCTGTGGGTAATAATGTTAAAATTTACCAAGAAAGTAAAATTTCTTTATTTTTAAGTAACTTGCAATACATTTTAAATTATAAAGTTTCGCTTTAACTTTTCGCAGTGTCTGACACATGTGCAACAACTGGAATTTGAGACGCGACATATTTTAGTTGCCTGTACGTCCTATAATTTTCACCGTAATAAATAAAGTGCATAATTTCTCATTTTTTTCCACACAAGTACAGCTATACTAGTTTTCTTCAGGTTTAATTTGTAGTTCTGTGGTAACATGACACCAGTAAGAGCTTTTTTGGAACTAGTAAGTGGTTAAGGGGTCCTTACTTATTCATTTAGCCCTCATATTTAGCTGAAATAGGGATAGCGTTAGGGGTTTCTTTACATTGACAAGACAATTTTTTGGACAAAGAATGTGATTATGATTGTATATCAGCAAGATTAAATAGTTTATTCATTTTCCATGCAAATGGCATTAATTGTTTTAATTTTCTGACACTGAAAAGCACAAAAAAGGTAAATTGATTATATAAGGGGACATAATTTAACTTTAATGCTCACATGAGAAATAGACAATCAGTCAACTTAGAGATGTATTCTAGTACATGTATAGTCAAAAAGATTTTAGAATAATAGTTAACTGCCATCTAAAGAACCTTGTTGTATTGCCTTCATAATCTGGAAATGCTTAAAGGAATGTAAGGCATGCTGTAAAATGTGGAATGGACTCTACTATCATTTTTCATGATTTGGTGCTTAAACTGTTTCTTTCAGTCAGATTAACTATAAATAGAGTTGGCAATCCAATAACTCCTCCTTAATCACCATGTTTTACTTCTGTGTTGATTTGAAACATCATATATTTGGGTTTTGTTCACTCCTTAAGTAAAAATGGTAAGATGAAAAAAAAGTGAAAATCTGCCAGCTGGGGTAGGGGTATAATCTTTAATATTTATTTGGTAAGAAATAAGTGCAGACTAGTATTCTTTATTGTAATATGTTTCCTAGTAAGAAGTCTATGCATCATAGGTGTCATGACTGTTTTCAAGTTTGTGATGTCTTGGTTAAGGTAGCACGGTAGTATTTGCATTCCGGAATTTAGGTTGCTCTTTTGTGTACCCTACCTAAGTCAATGTATCTGAACAGTGTGATTGGACAAAAAATACAGTATCAACTGAACATACTTTCCCAAACTGAGGGATGAATCAGATGTAGAAAAATGTGAAATAATTTTACATACAGGTGAAAATGAATTTTTGAGAATTTTTTTAATTTTTGTATTCACTGCATGATAAAAGACCTAAAAGCACTAGTGGCCTTAGGTTTTTAAAAATAGCAAAAAAAGTAAACGGTCATGATACATATTCAAATTTATTTCTGATTAGTATAATGAAAGTACTTCAGTTAACTGTGTAAGTAGAATTTTTCGCAGTGTTAGAAAGTGGTGAAAATCCTAAAAAGGCTATCATTATCCCTTATGGGCCAGGAAATGCTACCGTGCCACCTTAACTGGGATATATATGTTTACACTAAATCAATAAAGGTATTTTTTTTACCTATGCAATTTGTAATATTATCAATAAAAAGTTGATTAAGTGCAAGTAGAATAAAAACAGCCCTTAAATTTCACCCCTGGGAGTGAAAATTGCTGATTCAGCAAATTTTGCCTGATCTGTGGGTAATAATGTTAAAATTTACCAAGAAAGTAAAATTTCTTTATTTTTAAGTAACTTGCAATACATTTTAAATTATAAAGTTTCGCTTTAACTTTTCGCAGTGTCTGACACATGTGCAACAACTGGAATTTGAGACGCGACATATTTTAGTTGCCTGTACGTCCTATAATTTTCACCGTAATAAATAAAGTGCATAATTTCTCATTTTTTTCCACACAAGTACAGCTATACTAGTTTTCTTCAGGTTTAATTTGTAGTTCTGTGGTAACATGACACCAGTAAGAGCTTTTTTGGAACTAGTAAGTGGTTAAGGGGTCCTTACTTATTCATTTAGCCCTCATATTTAGCTGAAATAGGGATAGCGTTAGGGGTTTCTTTACATTGACAAGACAATTTTTTGGACAAAGAATGTGATTATGATTGTATATCAGCAAGATTAAATAGTTTATTCATTTTCCATGCAAATGGCATTAATTGTTTTAATTTTCTGACACTGAAAAGCACAAAAAAGGTAAATTGATTATATAAGGGGACATAATTTAACTTTAATGCTCACATGAGAAATAGACAATCAGTCAACTTAGAGATGTATTCTAGTACATGTATAGTCAAAAAGATTTTAGAATAATAGTTAACTGCCATCTAAAGAACCTTGTTGTATTGCCTTCATAATCTGGAAATGCTTAAAGGAATGTAAGGCATGCTGTAAAATGTGGAATGGACTCTACTATCATTTTTCATGATTTGGTGCTTAAACTGTTTCTTTCAGTCAGATTAACTATAAATAGAGTTGGCAATCCAATAACTCCTCCTTAATCACCATGTTTTACTTCTGTGTTGATTTGAAACATCATATATTTGGGTTTTGTTCACTCCTTAAGTAAAAATGGTAAGATGAAAAAAAAGTGAAAATCTGCCAGCTGGGGTAGGGGTATAATCTTTAATATTTATTTGGTAAGAAATAAGTGCAGACTAGTATTCTTTATTGTAATATGTTTCCTAGTAAGAAGTCTATGCATCATAGGTGTCATGACTGTTTTCAAGTTTGTGATGTCTTGGTTAAGGTAGCACGGTAGTATTTGCATTCCGGAATTTAGGTTGCTCTTTTGTGTACCCTACCTAAGTCAATGTATCTGAACAGTGTGATTGGACAAAAAATACAGTATCAACTGAACATACTTTCCCAAACTGAGGGATGAATCAGATGTAGAAAAATGTGAAATAATTTTACATACAGGTGAAAATGAATTTTTGAGAATTTTTTTAATTTTTGTATTCACTGCATGATAAAAGACCTAAAAGCACTAGTGGCCTTAGGTTTTTAAAAATAGCAAAAAAAGTAAACGGTCATGATACATATTCAAATTTATTTCTGATTAGTATAATGAAAGTACTTCAGTTAACTGTGTAAGTAGAATTTTTCGCAGTGTTAGAAAGTGGTGAAAATCCTAAAAAGGCTATCATTATCCCTTATGGGCCAGGAAATGCTACCGTGCCACCTTAACTGGGATATATATGTTTACACTAAATCAATAAAGGTATTTTTTTTACCTATGCAATTTGTAATATTATCAATAAAAAGTTGATTAAGTGCAAGTAGAATAAAAACAGCCCTTAAATTTCACCCCTGGGAGTGAAAATTGCTGATTCAGCAAATTTTGCCTGATCTGTGGGTAATAATGTTAAAATTTACCAAGAAAGTAAAATTTCTTTATTTTTAAGTAACTTGCAATACATTTTAAATTATAAAGTTTCGCTTTAACTTTTCGCAGTGTCTGACACATGTGCAACAACTGGAATTTGAGACGCGACATATTTTAGTTGCCTGTACGTCCTATAATTTTCACCGTAATAAATAAAGTGCATAATTTCTCATTTTTTTCCACACAAGTACAGCTATACTAGTTTTCTTCAGGTTTAATTTGTAGTTCTGTGGTAACATGACACCAGTAAGAGCTTTTTTGGAACTAGTAAGTGGTTAAGGGGTCCTTACTTATTCATTTAGCCCTCATATTTAGCTGAAATAGGGATAGCGTTAGGGGTTTCTTTACATTGACAAGACAATTTTTTGGACAAAGAATGTGATTATGATTGTATATCAGCAAGATTAAATAGTTTATTCATTTTCCATGCAAATGGCATTAATTGTTTTAATTTTCTGACACTGAAAAGCACAAAAAAGGTAAATTGATTATATAAGGGGACATAATTTAACTTTAATGCTCACATGAGAAATAGACAATCAGTCAACTTAGAGATGTATTCTAGTACATGTATAGTCAAAAAGATTTTAGAATAATAGTTAACTGCCATCTAAAGAACCTTGTTGTATTGCCTTCATAATCTGGAAATGCTTAAAGGAATGTAAGGCATGCTGTAAAATGTGGAATGGACTCTACTATCATTTTTCATGATTTGGTGCTTAAACTGTTTCTTTCAGTCAGATTAACTATAAATAGAGTTGGCAATCCAATAACTCCTCCTTAATCACCATGTTTTACTTCTGTGTTGATTTGAAACATCATATATTTGGGTTTTGTTCACTCCTTAAGTAAAAATGGTAAGATGAAAAAAAAGTGAAAATCTGCCAGCTGGGGTAGGGGTATAATCTTTAATATTTATTTGGTAAGAAATAAGTGCAGACTAGTATTCTTTATTGTAATATGTTTCCTAGTAAGAAGTCTATGCATCATAGGTGTCATGACTGTTTTCAAGTTTGTGATGTCTTGGTTAAGGTAGCACGGTAGTATTTGCATTCCGGAATTTAGGTTGCTCTTTTGTGTACCCTACCTAAGTCAATGTATCTGAACAGTGTGATTGGACAAAAAATACAGTATCAACTGAACATACTTTCCCAAACTGAGGGATGAATCAGATGTAGAAAAATGTGAAATAATTTTACATACAGGTGAAAATGAATTTTTGAGAATTTTTTTAATTTTTGTATTCACTGCATGATAAAAGACCTAAAAGCACTAGTGGCCTTAGGTTTTTAAAAATAGCAAAAAAAGTAAACGGTCATGATACATATTCAAATTTATTTCTGATTAGTATAATGAAAGTACTTCAGTTAACTGTGTAAGTAGAATTTTTCGCAGTGTTAGAAAGTGGTGAAAATCCTAAAAAGGCTATCATTATCCCTTATGGGCCAGGAAATGCTACCGTGCCACCTTAACTGGGATATATATGTTTACACTAAATCAATAAAGGTATTTTTTTTACCTATGCAATTTGTAATATTATCAATAAAAAGTTGATTAAGTGCAAGTAGAATAAAAACAGCCCTTAAATTTCACCCCTGGGAGTGAAAATTGCTGATTCAGCAAATTTTGCCTGATCTGTGGGTAATAATGTTAAAATTTACCAAGAAAGTAAAATTTCTTTATTTTTAAGTAACTTGCAATACATTTTAAATTATAAAGTTTCGCTTTAACTTTTCGCAGTGTCTGACACATGTGCAACAACTGGAATTTGAGACGCGACATATTTTAGTTGCCTGTACGTCCTATAATTTTCACCGTAATAAATAAAGTGCATAATTTCTCATTTTTTTCCACACAAGTACAGCTATACTAGTTTTCTTCAGGTTTAATTTGTAGTTCTGTGGTAACATGACACCAGTAAGAGCTTTTTTGGAACTAGTAAGTGGTTAAGGGGTCCTTACTTATTCATTTAGCCCTCATATTTAGCTGAAATAGGGATAGCGTTAGGGGTTTCTTTACATTGACAAGACAATTTTTTGGACAAAGAATGTGATTATGATTGTATATCAGCAAGATTAAATAGTTTATTCATTTTCCATGCAAATGGCATTAATTGTTTTAATTTTCTGACACTGAAAAGCACAAAAAAGGTAAATTGATTATATAAGGGGACATAATTTAACTTTAATGCTCACATGAGAAATAGACAATCAGTCAACTTAGAGATGTATTCTAGTACATGTATAGTCAAAAAGATTTTAGAATAATAGTTAACTGCCATCTAAAGAACCTTGTTGTATTGCCTTCATAATCTGGAAATGCTTAAAGGAATGTAAGGCATGCTGTAAAATGTGGAATGGACTCTACTATCATTTTTCATGATTTGGTGCTTAAACTGTTTCTTTCAGTCAGATTAACTATAAATAGAGTTGGCAATCCAATAACTCCTCCTTAATCACCATGTTTTACTTCTGTGTTGATTTGAAACATCATATATTTGGGTTTTGTTCACTCCTTAAGTAAAAATGGTAAGATGAAAAAAAAGTGAAAATCTGCCAGCTGGGGTAGGGGTATAATCTTTAATATTTATTTGGTAAGAAATAAGTGCAGACTAGTATTCTTTATTGTAATATGTTTCCTAGTAAGAAGTCTATGCATCATAGGTGTCATGACTGTTTTCAAGTTTGTGATGTCTTGGTTAAGGTAGCACGGTAGTATTTGCATTCCGGAATTTAGGTTGCTCTTTTGTGTACCCTACCTAAGTCAATGTATCTGAACAGTGTGATTGGACAAAAAATACAGTATCAACTGAACATACTTTCCCAAACTGAGGGATGAATCAGATGTAGAAAAATGTGAAATAATTTTACATACAGGTGAAAATGAATTTTTGAGAATTTTTTTAATTTTTGTATTCACTGCATGATAAAAGACCTAAAAGCACTAGTGGCCTTAGGTTTTTAAAAATAGCAAAAAAAGTAAACGGTCATGATACATATTCAAATTTATTTCTGATTAGTATAATGAAAGTACTTCAGTTAACTGTGTAAGTAGAATTTTTCGCAGTGTTAGAAAGTGGTGAAAATCCTAAAAAGGCTATCATTATCCCTTATGGGCCAGGAAATGCTACCGTGCCACCTACACTCAATATTAAGTGTAGTATTGCGGAGCATGTACGGAACGGATATGAACTCTGCGCCGGAGATTGGCACTAAAGACCAAAATAGCATTTCCAAAAAAAATAATTACTGCCAAGAAATTTGACAATCATGACAATAATTTAGTGAATAAACATGATAAATATTGATTGGAAAAATAAGTCCATGAACAGCAAAAAGTGTTTTTAGATTTCAACGAGCAAAACAAGTATTCTAAATCAATCTTCGTAAAAAAAAAAGTGAGCGAGTGGAACCACCTTGCTCGCACCAAAATTGAGATTGAGAGTGTCAAAACTGCTCTGGCACACCATCAATAAATCAACGACACTCTCTCTACCGTGGTATTGAAACCAGCATTGGTAACCAAACATATTCATACAGATACAGACTACCATTCATCTACATTTAGGAAGTCTGAATAATACTGAAAACTATGGTGTAGAATTTCCAACAGGACTCCTTATTTTATATAAGACAAGGAGTGGTTTATTTTCCCATGGTTGTTACATCATCTTGTCTTTGAATATGCTCGAAGTACAGGGACTTTTATGGAATTCATTGACATGATAGTCAAGCAAGATGTCAACATCTCGTCCAACCCTCTTCCAGCAAAGCCAAAGCTGACCAAGGATCTTCACCCTTTCAAAACAGGCTGTATACAGGACGAGTTATTCCAGTAGGAACAGGTACAAATCTTACAATCAATTTTCATTTGTTCCATATAGTCAATCTGAAATTAGGGGACCAACAATTGATACATTAGCTAGATTAAAAAAAGGGGGTGGGTGTTGAAGGGGCATGTGAATATTCTTTTACACCTGACCTGTTTCTAAGACATCTTATTTATTTCCTATGGAAAAGTGCAAGCAAATAATATATATCCGTATATACATTGTTCTGTCTTGGGACCATTTGATTAAAAAAGCAAGGGGAGGGTTAGAATGGTCAAAATATTTATGTCCTTGTCAACTTAGGACAGAATTTTAATTTTCAAGCTATTAACCAGGGTACAATATATATTTATTTTCTGCTTTAAAAAATCAATTTATAGACCAGAATCATGATAATAATCAAAATCTATTTCAACATATTCAACGTTTAGCAGGTCAGGTTTTTATTCTCTTCCCCTAAGCATGCTAAGTTATATTTTCAGTTCTTACTGGAAGTTGTTCAGCTCTTTGTCTACTAAAAAAAGTTTAATCTCGTGGAAAAGCCTCCTACAAATACATGTTTTACATACAACAAACTGTACATGTAACACTAGACAACTTTATCCAGAGAATAATATTTTTTTAATGAACTAATAGGCCATGGAGACTAAAAAAATCAAAAGCATTGCAAACTTTTGTAAGGTTCAATTTTAGGACCCTACATGTACATGTATGTACATGTAGATTACTTATAGAGCCCTTTTTAAAAGAAAAAACATACATTTAAACTACATGCACAGTGATGCTACACTACCCTACATTTCCTGTCTGATATATTTTATTTCATGTAAAACAAAATTGAAGAATTATTTTATAGTTTAACACTTTTTATTTGTAGGGCTATATATATGCAAGCAATGCTCAATTAAGATGATTTTTTGTAAAAGTGACAATAGCCAGGTCAAACTAAATACATGTATAGAAGAAGATATTGGTAAGTTATTATTAACTTATATATTAATTTAACTGTTTGTATAACATGGTAATCATACAAAGTATATGTAATCACTTATATAATAACATAATTATACAATTACATGTTATACATTTGTACATCAGTTTTATTAAACAGGTCTTTGTTAACTTGGTTTTCCCATTGAAAAATCACTTTGCTAATTTTAATTTGTAGTACTATATTGGGCGTCTTCTATAGTTTCCATTCAATAACTAACAATGACTAATGAACTGTTCATACATTCCATTTCAATTATTTTATTTATTAATATGTATTACTTTTACTGTTAAGTCTGTTTTTTGTGATATCCATTTATGTGAACATGTATTTATGTATCCCGTCATACTTTGAACGACAAAATTATTTTATGTCTACCTGTGCGAATTTCAAACGCGCGATTTTACGCCAGTACTTAAAACCTCCCATCCTTTATGGGTGGATATTACATAGATATATAAAATCGTATAATATAAGCAAAATAAGGATGTTAAATTTGATGTATGCCTTTTTGTGCTTCTTTGTTACATTTGTTTGTTTTTATAGTGATTAAGATGATAACACAATGTTGACTGCTGTACCCCTATATTTGACAATTTGACCTATTGTGTCTGTTTGTTTTGTTCATGCATCGTTGTCAATATAATGGAATTTGATGCGACTGTCATACAAGTGAGAGGTTTATTATCTAGCTATAAAACCAGGTTCAATCCACCATTTTCTACATAAGAAAATGCCTGTACCAAGTCAGGAATATGACAGTTGTTATCCATTCGTTTGATGTCTTTGAACTTTTGATTTTGCCATTTGATTGTGGACTTTCCTTTTTAGCTCACCTGGCCCGAAGGGCCAAGTGAGCTTTTCTCATCACTTGGCGTCCGTCGTCCACTGTCGTCGTCGTCCGTCGTCGTTAGCTTTTTACAAAAATCTTCTCCTCTGAAACCACTTGGCCAAATTTAACCAAACTTGGCCACAATCATCATTAGGGTATCTAGTTTAAAAAATGTGTCCGATGACCCCGCCAACCAACCAAGATGGCCGCCATGGCTAAAAATAGAACATAGGGGTAAAATGTAGATTTTGGCTTATATCTCTGAAACCAAAGCATTTAGAGTAAATCTGACATGGGTAAAACTGATTATCAGGTCAAGATCTATCTGCCCTGAAATTTTCAGACAAATCTGACAATCTGTTGTTGGGTTGCTGCCCCTGAATTTGTAATTTTAAGGAAATTTTGCAGATTTTGGTTATTAACTTGAATATTATTATAGATAGAGATAAACTGTAAACAGCAATAATGTTCAGCAAAGTAAGATCTACAAATAAGTTGTCATGACCAAAATTGTCAGTCGACCTCTTTAGGAGTTATTGCCCTTAATAGTCAATTTTTAACAATTTTTTTGTAAATTTTTGTAATCTTTTACAAAAATCTTCTTCTCTGAAACTACTAAGACAAATTTAACCATACTTGGCCATAATGATTATTAGGGTATCTAGTTTAAAAAATTTGTCCAATGACACCGCCTTCCAACCATTATGGCCGACTTGGTTAAAAATAGAACAAAGGGGTAAAATGCAGTTTTTGGCTTATATCTCTGAAACTAAAGTATTTAGAGCAAATCTGACAGGTGGCAAAAATGTTCATCAGATTTAGATTTATCTGCCCTGAAATTTTCAGACGAATCCGACAACCTGTTGTTGGGTTGCTGCCCCTGAGTTAGTAATTTTACAAAAATTTTGCAGTTTTTTGTTATTATCTTAGATATCATTATAATATATAATATCTAATACTATTAATTATGATTTTAACCTTATTTTACATGATTTCCAAAGCATCAGTAAATACAGGTGAGCGACACAGGCTCTTGAGAGCCTCTAGTTGAATTTTCCTCGGAGTTCAGTATTTTTGTGATTTTACTTTTTCGAATATAAAAGTGGGAGATTTTAATTGGTACTTTTGAAGATATTTCACCTGTTCAATTAATTGATTGGTTGTTGGTAATGCTAATGTCCAATGGCAAATAGTTCATGCATGTTTAGGACAAGAACAAATTAAAATAAATACATTATTTGGGTTCTTAATATGCTAAATCTAACAATGTATTTAAATAATTTAAGATGTTGCAATTGGGCCCCATTTTAAATTGGTTCACATTGATTTCAAAATGGTCCAAAATTTTTTTTCTTATTTCTACACAACTGGAATTCTTGAGGTTCTTTTGATATACAAAATGCAAATGTTTTATACTTAGATTTTTAATTTTGGTCCGGTTTTCAAATTTGTCCTCATTTTAAAGTCCAAAGGGTCCAAATTTTAACTTAGTTTAATTTTAACAAAACTTGAACTCTAATTACAATGAATTAGGGTTCTTTGAATGATATATAGAAATATTCAAATATCCTGAATATAAATATGTACTTAGATTTATGATTTTGGTCCCAGTTTTCAAGTTGGTTCAAATGGGGTCCATAATTTAACTGTGTTTGATTTCAACAATAATTTTAAAGATGCTGATTCAGCCTGATCTAACCTGTATTTAGTTTTTGGGCCCTATTATGAAATTGGTTTACATTGAGGTCCAAAGGGTCCAAAATTAAACTAAATTTTAAATCTTAATTTGATCTTGGGGTTCTCTGATATGCTGAATCTATTAAACTTTATCTTTATACGATATTTATTCTGTGTTAGCAAACCTATTCTTTGTCAAATATTTAATCCCATTACAAATTTAGAGCTGTTATAGCTTGAATGTTCTGTCCAAACTTGCATTTTTTCTTCATCTTCCACAAAATTTGTCCTTTTCTGAGATAACTGGTGTTATCTTTTTAAATGAAACTTTAGTGAAAAGAAATGCACAATATGTGGATATTATCTGATGTCAAACATTTTCAAGATGGCCACCAAGGATGGCACAAAGTTCAACACTGGTTAATTTAATAAAAATTGTTAATTAGGGATAGTCGTGGTAGTTTGACTTGCTAAACAAAGTAAGGTTGTTTTTTCTTCCAAAAATGGCAAACATTTTCAAGATGGCCTTATATGAAAATTGACATTAAGGAATTATAGCCCTTTTGACATGCCAACAAAACAATGAAATTTTTTTTTAAAGATGGACACAGCAAATAAAGAGTAAAATTTTCAATTTTGTTGAGTTTGATTTTAAAGATTGTTGATATTTAGCTGTACTTTGACACAGAGAACAGATATAAAGATGGCCACCATTTCAAAGATTGTCACTAAAAGAGGTCAAATTATCACCATTGTCTGTTTTCAATGTAAAATTATATTGAGAGGTAATTTGACATGCCAAACCAAATGGAGGCAATTTTTATTGTTGTAAAGATGTTAAGGGCTATTTGGACATGCTTAAAAGGAGTGGATAATAACTATTCTGCAAAAATGATTTGGCTTTAGTTGGGAGAATTTTGTAACTGCATCCACTTACAGTAAAAGTTGTCAATTTTATTTCCTGTCAGTGATATATATGAAATTAAAAAAAAATGTGGTATGATTGCCAATGAGAACAAATGACATAGAAGTAAAGCCATAGGTCTTCATACGCCATATGGCCTTCAACAATGAGCAAGACCTATACTGCATATATATTCAGCCATAAAAGGCCCCAAAATAAGAAAATGAAAAAATATGAAAACTAACAGCCTGATTTATGTATGTATGTTTTGTGGTTTTCAGATCTGGACTCGCAGCTAACCTTTCTGTCAGTGTCAACAACAACTGAACTTTCACAGCAGTCAACATCAGATTGGGAGACTGATTATGCTTCTAACAGAAACAATTTCAACCAACCAAACAAGCAACAGAAACTTTCCAACTTTAAAACATCAGTTAAATCTTCCATGGGATGATGTCTCAAAAAATAACAGTTCATCATTTATGGAGATTTTAATGTTATGGTTTTTCTTTTACAAGAAAGTTAATGTACACTTGTTTTATAGTAAAACCTATAGCCGTTCAAGTATAAAAAAACACATTCAACTTTATTGAAATTTGAAGATTCATATGACTTATTTTAATTCTGTTATCTCCGAGGATGTGATGTAGAGCATTATAGGTACAGTAATCTTAACAGCTATCCAATTTCATTCAAAATTCTTTATAAATTTTGCACTGGTATATATAGACTAAGTGATTTGTTTTTTGTCTAGTTATGGGATTTTTTTATACCCCACACAACGAGTTGCGGAGGGTATAATGTTTTTGACCCGTCCGTCTGTCTGTCCGTCAGTCCGTCAGTCCTGTTTCTTGTCATCGCAACTCCTCTCAAACCACACAACAGAATTTCACGAAACCTTTTTAGATAATAAGGACATACTATGTACACTGTAGTTGTGCATATAGACAGGAAGTTACGATTCAATTCATTTTCTAGGAGTTAGGCCCCTTTGAACTAATTTACTTTAATGTACTTCTGCAACAGTTTGTCATCACAACTCGTCTCAAACCACACAACAGAATTTCATGAAACCTTTTCAGATAATAAGGACATACTACGTAGATGTGCATATCGACAGGAAATTACGATTTAATTTTTTTTCCAGGAGTTACGCCCCTTTGAACTTAATTGCCCAATATACTACTGCAACCTTTTGTCATCGCAACTCCTCTCAAACCACACAACAGAATTTCATGAAACCTTTTCAGATAATAAGGACATACTACGTAGATGTGCATATCGACAGGAAATTACGTTTCAATTTTTTTTCCAGGAATTACGTCCCTTTGAACTTATTTGCCCAATATACTACTGCAACCTTTTGTCATCGCAACTCCTCTCAAACCACACAACAGAATTTCATGAAACTGTGTAGATAATAAGGACATACTACGTTGATGTGCATATTGACAGGAAGTTATGATTCAATTTTTTTTTCTGATACAATTTTTTTTCTTACACTTATTTTATTTCTCCAATGACAATGTCTGGAAGTGGGGTATGTGAGCGCGCTCACTAAGGTTCTTTCATTTTAGAAGCATTTATGATTTTCATGTTTGTATTGACCACATTGCAGCAACATAGATATAGGTACCTGGCAAATCTTGCCTTGTTAGCATACTAGGCTCAAAGGGTCATAAAAAAATTTCCATCACTAAGTGTCTGTTAAAATCATCTGTGTACAGTTTTCACTTTTAATCTTAATAACTTTAGAAGTGTCATACATATATATATATTGAAGACCTGTTGGTGGCCTTCTGCTGTTGTCTGTTCTGTGGTCGGGTTGTTGTCTCTTTGACACATTCCCCATTTCCATTCTCAATTTTATGTATACAAAATTTAAAAACTTTTCAATATATATATTTATATATATATATTGATAAAAACTATCAACATGACAAGATCTAAATACCCAAAATTTTTCTGAAAAATTGGACATAACATCTATGAGCTATTGTCCCTGAAATGTGTAAATTTACAAATTTTCACAGTTTTCTGCTACTATCCAACAACTATATCAATATATTATAAGAATAAATTGCAAAAGTGGTCAGAAGAAACTTTTTTTTTACAGTCTGAACTTATTCTGAATTGTTTAACTTCTAATTTAAATTGATTGCGTTTGAAATATGTGTTTTTTATCGTTTTAGGTTCACAATTTGTCAAGACGATCTATTTCGGCTCCTGGGAGCCTCTAGATTTATAATGAATAATTTGTATTTATGTATGATTATTTTCTTAATGTATTAAATGAAACATTAATTATTCTTTTCCATTTGTTGTTATACTATTTATAAGTCCAGATCCTATCATATGTCAGTAGTTACAAATTAGACGGCAAAATTGAGAAAATTTGAATATGCAGGTTACCCCATTTTGTTGTGGCATATACCAGACACCAACATTATTTGCCGAGCTTGATATTTTTTTTGATTGGGTATATATAGTTATACTTTGCAAGTAGATATGTTGTTTTACAATAATAAACGGGTCTTGGAGTATTTTGGCTCTGAAAGATGACCAAAATCAGCCATTTTGGACATGTAGCTAAATAAGACATATTGACTCAGTTAGATTATACATTCACTTAATAGACAGCATTGTTAATTCTATGCATTCTTACACTTAAAGTGATGTAATACTAGGAACAACTATCAAAAAATTATAATTGTTACCATATTTTTTTATTTAAACCAGCGAAATATGCCAAAAAAGGCTTATTTTTGCTGTTTTTGAGCAATTTCATCTGTTAAAACATGGCGCTCAAAAAATATCCAGATCGGTTTAATATTTTCCCAAAAAAATTTGTGTGGTTATTTTCATTACTAAGGTGCACCAATATGCCAAATATGAACTCATTTGGAAAAAGTGACATTCGGACGGTTTTGCATGGTTTTCTGGCAGATTGGCTCTTAATTGTAATATGGAACAGTACATCTTGGAAGATTCATATACATCATAAAGCACTATTCCTTTAATTTCGACACTGAATTCTGTTTCATTAGATAAGATATTATATTATTCCACAAATATCTCTTGTTGAAAATATTTCTATACTGGCACTAAATAAAGATGTATGGTCACAATTGGTCAAAACATGAATATTTACAGCACTTAACAACACAACATTCACAATTAATTAAAAAAATAACAACTGATTAAATCTTTACGATAACAACCTACTTGTATTGATTTAACCAGAGACCGCATAATTTTTCCAACACAATCAGTCAAAAAGAAAAAAAATATTTACAGCACTATTTATTTACAATGATCACAGTTAATTATAAAACAAAAACAACTGTCGTGAGTATTTGGGATCACAAATTACCATTCACATCATGTCTTGATTTAACCAAAGGCAGCAAAATTCCAACAAAGCAATAAAATATCACACTTCAAGAGACTGTGAACAATTGCATATAAGACTAGTAAAACAAATCTTCATTGCATACAAAATGAATACTATTACATGATCACATTAAAAAAAAATTAGACAAGGTAACACTATTTGAATACAAACTGTAACTCATTAAAAAAACATGTAAAAAGAATAACAAACAAAATTGCACTATGACTTCAAAATATTGCACTGAACTTTCATGATCACAATTTGTAACTTCAGGTGTACACATATTCTAAGCAAATTTCTACAGTTCAAAACATTTGACACGAACGGCTGCGCTGGTATTTCGCAAATGTTTCTTTTTTTTTTGATGTTATTCATTGGCTCAGTTTTTGTCCATTTACTTTACATGTATCATCATTAACAATGTTTTGAAAGGAATGGTGACATCGTCCTGGAATTTTATCAAATAACTTCTCTTTTGATAGCTCTTCAACTAAAGAGTTAATGTTTTGCATTGATGGCTAAGAGTTTGAAGGTCGACCGAAAAATTGCTGTAAACCTTCCGTTAGGTCATTGCATCCCTGCAAACTTCTACCACATCTTTGTATCGAAGATGATGACAAATTTCCACTTAAAAAATTCAAGGAATCTTTTGCACGTTTAAAAATTCCAGTGCCAAATCACCTGGTACATTTTTCCGGCCCCACTGTGAATATTCACATCCCTGTTGTGACGCAACTGGTGTGCTAGCTTTGGTGGTAGCAATGCTAACAGTTGGGCTTGTAACCGGAATGACAGAAGACGGTATTTCGTATGATTATGCAAAGTATATTTCAGAATGTCTAACCTCCACATACTAGACATGCTAGACAATCACCGTCATTTTCTTTAGATGCATCTTCTCTTATCCAGTCGTATAGACCATCTCTCAACAAACTACATGAATAATTTAACTTGTGATCTTCTGTTTCTGCTTTATCGGAATTCAAGTTTGTTAGTTACTTTCTGCTTTTTGTTAGTTTCTGTTAACTGTAAATGTTGCAAAACTTTATACAAACATATATTTCTATGTTTTTCCTTGCATTTTCCATTTATGGCAAATGTCTTTTGGCAGCCTGGATATCCACAAGGTACTCTGTTATTGTCTGCTGTGTCATGACCATTCAGTTCAAGTTCAAATGGTTTGGCTACAATGTATTTTTCCACTATATCTGATGACACCTTTACTAAAAGTTCTTTCTTTTCCTATTTGTTCATATTGTCAGTTATTTTGTTTATATCACCAACATCAGTCACATTCAGTATTTGTAAGGCTGCTAGGACAATATAGCCCTTTGTCACAAAACGAACAAAATGTCTGCAGTCATTGACAGCATCCTTTACCTAGAATATAAAGTTTATAATTTTAGAACATTATTTCAAATATAGAATAGAGTTTATTCACGTTTTCTTTAATGCAACAATAAATTTTCGGCAGAATTTCAAATATAGAATAGTGTCAATTATAATCGTTTATTCAGGTTTTCTTTTATGCAACAATAAATTTTAGGCAGAATTTCAAATATAGAATAGTGTCAATTATAATCGTTTATTCAGGTTTTCTTTAATGCAACAATAAATTTTAGGCAGATCTATAAATCAAATAGTTTGTTAGTATTCAGAGTAACAGAAACATGAGTTTATTATGACAGACAATATAACATAGCTTTACAATTTTATGAATCAAACAGATATTAAATGTTTCTCATCATTTACAATTACAATTATTTCCTTCAATAGGATATGAACAAAAAATTATGGTGAAAAGCAACTTCATTTAATGAATTTAATAGACTGGCTGAAGAAAAGCAATACATGAATAAACGTTTATCATTTCTTCTTAAAAGCTGTGTTTATAATTAAATGTACTTACAACTGATTTAACACCTCGCTGATCAAATTTGTTCCTAAGCTGAAATAGGGTTCCTTTTTCAGCAGATGATGTCCCTTTAAAATGTAGATCATATATTTCCTGAAAAATAAACAAATAAAGATGTACAAATTATTTAAAAAAAACACAAAAAACCAACTTACATGTATGACCGAAAAAATAACATTAGTATTCACAAACATTCTTTAAGTGTCTGTCCAAAGTCAGGGGCCTGTTATTCAGTGGTTGTCGTTGGTTCCTGCTTGTAATTTTGTCATGCCTATATTGTTCTGTTATTACTTAGGCTGTTAGTTTTCTAAATTGAATTGTTTCATATATTTAAAGCAAACTCTACGTTATGGATTTTTCTCATTGTTGAAGGCTGTACTTTTGCCTACAGTTGATAACGCCCACTTCATTTGAACATTGGTGGATATTAGTCTCAGTTGCAATCATACTACAGCTCCTTGTTTTTATATTATCATTTTACATACATGAAACAAAAGTAACCCATTTTTTCATATTCAATTACATAAGAAACATACCTGTAAAGTTATGACATGACCATGCCAGTCTTCACTCTTCCAAATAAATCCTTCCAGACGGTCCTCTTGATAAACTCCATCAGCTCTTGCCTTTTGTGCCACGTCACCTCTTTCTACACTAAGAGCATCTCCCCCTAACAGAAGTGGCATCATCTTTTGTTGTCCATCTCTAGGCACATACTGTTGCAGATGTTCAATAACTTCAATCATTTCTTCTGTTTTGTTTTCATCCTTTTCCATGATTCCAAGAGGTACCTACAATGTAGATATATATTATTTATTTGAAGAAAATATCTTTATCAAAAATATTTAAAACAAATTATGTTTTTAAGAAACAACTGTCTAAAGTACATCCATTCATAGGTTACATGGACAGTATATATATATTGTAATCTAAAACTGAGCACAAATACTAAAATTTCTAAAAAAAAAAAAATCTATAAAAATGTATAAAGTAAATATTCACACATATATATATATATCAAATGAAGAAAATCCTTTTGTTAAATTTTGATGTTTACTTTTATTTCACAACAGATGTACAAATGTATTTACTATTTTCATTTATTACCTACATTGTATACTGTGGATACTTACAATAACACCTTTTTCTTCGACTCTTCTGTATACTGATGGGGGATGTGGTAGGTAACAAATTCTTTACAGTCCTTCAAGGCTGAAATATGGTCGACTAATGCCCTTTGAATAAGTATATTACAGTCTTGGTATAGTGCCTTGTAGTCTTCATTTGGAACAGGGAGTATGTCTGCTTGTGGGTGAACCGAGTCTAAATCCTGTTAAATGTAGTGATCGATAGGGAGCGTAATATAACGACTAGATTATTCGGGTTATTGTTAGTTGTGATTTGAACGAACTGGTGGAAGAAACTAATGGGAACAAATCGAAAATGTTTATTCAATAAGGTCCAATGTTAGGAGAAAACATGTTTTAGAAGGATAATCATGGTTTAATTTATCGGTATCAGGTATTATAATGTAAATATATGCTAAAATGCAGACGGCATGACTTACAAGTGCTTTAGATACAACAGATTAACCACGTGCTGCAATATTTAATTTCAGCCATGGCCAGTAGCCATCATTTTATATGAAAGACACCGAAACACAGTGGTTTGTAAATCTTATCGTCCCCAATGAACTTCCCTCGTGTGATCTTTTAGGAAAATGAAGAAATAGAAATTAAAAAAAACCTGTGGCTGTGCCTAGTTCCTTACCGCCATATTAATATGCAGTATTAAGGACAAAAACTTCATTTGCATCATGCCATAGGCTCAGTTATGTATACTTATTTACATCATGCCATTCGTCCAAAATAATATTCCTGCACGACACATCAAATAAAAAAAAACTCCTTCCAAGTCTTAATAATTATAACTTATAAGGACTAATCCTGCCATAGGCTCCGTTACATATGATTATTTGCATCCTCATACCTAGGAAGAAGCATAAAAACAACATTAGAATATATTTACATGCCCCTTAAAAGTTTTTTTTTGGATTGTTGTGAGAGCCATATGATCTCGCATGAAACCCCAAATGGGCATTTTCTAAATGTTGGCAGGTATATATGCATCCTGCCATTGACTCGGTTGTAATTTGCCGAGCTAATCATTTGTTTTCAAAACCACCTTTAAATTTCAAATAATCATCCCTTTGAAAAATATTTTTTTGTTGTTCTGTAAAAGTAGTACTGTAGACCTAGTCCAGATAAGTGTGACGTCTTACAAGTCTATTTCATTTCTTTTGCTTTGACCCCTTGTCGTAGGAAGGCTCAAAGCAAAAATAAAATAGCCTTGCAAGATGTCATAATTATCTGGACTACGAATAGACCAAAATTATTGGTCTGGTCCAATTTGCTATTATTTTTGTGTGCAATATAGATACAGAAACTGAGAAAGCATTGTCCACTTGAATGAAGTTTCATACATGTAACTAATATGGCGTTGTAACTTGTAATTATTTGGACTAGAGTGAAGAAAATTTTACACCGGAGTTGAATTTCTTAAATATACATGTACATACCATTGATTTCACTATGATAACTAATATTCATAATCACAAGCTCTATTGTCATTCTTTATATTTCTTAAGGCCAAATAAAAATATGTGTGTGGTTCAAGTTACCCGACCAACCCTAGTTTAAACCCCGACCCTAGAATTTTTTTTTCATTTCTGAAAAATAAATTTTCAAACGATAAAATTTTGAGGATTTTGAATTAAAATAATTAAATTCATAGATTTCTGTCATCTGAACTTCCATTAGATGTATCTGTAATGGCTAAAATGAAAGAATTTATAATGGAATGCAACAAAATAAACTGAAAACGTAACATGACTGTTTATTTTACAACCAAACTCGTGTAAAATGGTGAACTTCCGGTAGGGGCGTGTATAATACCGGAAACAATTTCGGTAAACACACGATTTTTTTCCGGATTATGACAATCCAAAATAAAAATTTAGAAAAAAAAAAAAAATATTCCCGACCTATCGACCCTTTTTTTTAAAAGTATGTAACTGGAACCACACATATGGTCCGAGGACACAGTTATCGTTCTTAGATTTTCGTTGTCTACGAATATAGTCCCTAGTATGGACAGTGTATAACTTGCCTATTTTTTTCATACACTTTCCAAATTTATTTCTTTATATTTTATGCATGAAATTTTAAGTAAGGGGGTGAAATTACATGTTTAAAAAAATTTGGGCGCTGAATCTTTATGTTAAGTAGTGATTTGGTCCAGTTAAAGAAGGTCAAAAACTAGTATGTCTGAAGCTGTCAAACTGATTTTTAGACCCCCTTAACATAGAATTGTCAATATTTTAAGTTAGAGCTGGTAGACTTTTCTATAATTTTGATATTGTTTGTCCCAATAGTAGTACACTACACTGTAAAAATCTTTTCGAGATAGAGCAGGTGCGAAAAATGTGTCATATAACGTATGAATTAAGATGAAATAAATCTTTGTGTTCAACATATTTTAAGGATGTACATGTTATTTATCATTTTAAAATTTCCAATTTTCTTTCATGTTCTAATATGAACTCGTCATACAACCCTGAAATTTATTGCAAGTTTCCTTGTCAGTAAGATTTCTCTCACAGACATTTACATGTATATGTCATAGTATAATGTTTTAGTGCTTAGTTCTGAGCTAGAGTCAACAACTGTGAGTGTCACTGATTAGGGCTGCACTCAGAGTGTGATTGATGGACAATTTCACTTTTTACAGGAGCAGACTAATTTCAAGTGAATTATGCTCAGGTGTTTGGGGAGAAACAATTTGTTAAGTGTTAGTACTTTGGTTTGGTGTGACTGCTTTAGTGCCTTTATCTGCCACAGAGTCGACAACTGTCACTGATTAGGGTCAAACTCAGTGGGATTGACTTTCTTTTTCACTTTGTACTGGAGTAAAGTTCATTTCAAGAGAATTATGCTCAGGTGTTTGGGTAGGAACAATTTGTTTTGTGTTAGTACTTTTGTTTGATGTGACTGCTTTAGTGCATTTATCTGCCACAGGCAAGGCTTCATCCTGTTGTGCATCCGTAAAAGTAGAGACATTTTCATTCAAAATATATCAGTCCCTGTAGTATCTTCAGGGGTTTCCTCCCGTCCTCCGGTTGAAGAAAAAATTGATACTGTGTTGAAAATATTTCATGAATGAACATTTTTCGACGCTTACTACGATTTTTACAAATGTTTAATTATTAAAGACGGAAAAGCCCGAGTTTATCGAAAGTATCCTGGTATCTCATCTCGGCCCATAACAAACTCGGACTATAATAAACTCGGCCTATTACATAATCGGCATCAGACAATCGGACTATAACAAAATTCGTAATTATACTACTTGCTATTAAGTCTCCCAAACAAATTTTGGAGACTTATTGTTTTTGCTCAGTTCTTATTATTTTTCTTCTTGGGGTCTATTTAGGGATATTTTGAGGGGTCAACAGAAGGGAGGGATTTACTATAGAACCCTAGGGGATTTCTTTTTTTTTTAATTTTCAAATCACTATATATACAGGTAACTTGAAAACAGTAAGTGATAGACACACGCGGTTTTCAGTAATGATCACAGGACCATAAAACAAATCAAATAAAATATAGGTTGAGTCCGTGGGGTCACCCTTATGGAAAAATAAGGCTTCTTGCAAATATTTGCGGCAATGTTGCTGCAACTATTTGCGGCAATATTGCTGCAAATATTCATTTTTCGTATGCAAATTAGTTTTCTTGCAAACAGTTGCTGCAATATTGCCGCAACAATTTGCGGCAATATTGCAGCAAATGTTTGCGGGAAAATCAGTAGCTATGATTGTTGCAGCAATATTGCGGCAAATTCATTAGCTGCAATGTTGCAGCAATATTGCAGGAAAATTAATTTCTTGCAATATTGCAGCAATATTGCAGCAAATCTTTCAACAATTTCAGTTGAAAAAATAGGAATTAAAAACAGCATTTAAAAAAGTATGATTTAATAATAAAACAAAATTTTCTCTGTCCTCTATAGGTTGTTGTGTTACATATCTGTGTATCCTTTAGTTCTGTTTCTCTGTACTAACTGTCCTTAAAGTTGAATTTTCTGATTTCAAATACTGCAAAATAAAAGTTGAAGAATTTAGCATACATTAAAAGAATAACTAAACATTATAAAGATATAAAGATATAAGTTACTACTATATATTGTAAATTCTGGACTTGTAAAATGAAAATAACTCTTTATAAAGAGATGATTACAGACCAATTTTTCCAGCATTTGTTTGACTTAAAGGGTCAATGTCTAAAAGTTATCAAGTCCTTCTAGAAATTGCATATTACTATACATTTAACCTTATGCCAGTACTAGGTTGTTACTGCTTTTTTGAATATTTGTTTTTCATTGAACTATAACATAATTGGTCTTGTCTATTCTTTAAAATTTTTGTGATTAGTTGTGTATATATAAAAGCTAAATATTGTTGCCATTTGTTGAAAGACCTCTTATTGGCAGTCAAATCACAGATCTCTAATTTAATACCAAACTGCTTTTATTAGAAGATTTCTTGTTTCAATTTAAGTAATGTACTTTCTAAAACATATAGTCTTAAATAGATTTAAAAAAATATCTCCTGTCTTACACAATTTTAATAATATTCATGTGCATAAATCTATTGTCTTATACTTTTGTCAACTCTATTAAGTTAAGAAAACTCTTTGAATATCACTATTTTGAACTGTAAGAGCAAGCACTTATTCAAAATGGTGGACATTCAACTCCATTGTACTTACCAAAAGATGTTATCCAAATTATGTGTAAACACCAATCTTCCTAAATCCAAGAGTCATGTCAACTGAAGGCTATCATATGCACTATCCAGTGTCAATAGAATTAATTGGAACTTTTGGATCTAAATCCATTGTAAAATTCGTATTACTTTGTTCATGATAGAAGACATCTTTGTTTGTTGTATGCATGTTCATGTCCAGTTCAAATTTTGAATATGTTGATCAAGGTTGCTTAGGGTATTGTGACAGTGTGATCCCTTTGAAATTTGCCCCTAATTATAAATATCAATTGCCTAAATCTTGAATATTTGTTACATATTATAATAAAAAAATAATTATATATATATATTTTTGTTTATCTTTGATGTTATAAGTTATAATGGAAATATATACAAAGAAGAAATGCTCTACCCTTAATTTGGCCTCAAACTCTGTGTACATTAATTTATGGTACTTCCTGTCTTTACCACTACACAGAGATAAATTGAAACCAGATGGCACATTACATTTCTATCACCAGCTCATATTACTAATTGAGATGAGAAAGGTAATTTGTGTATACATAGTTTTAAAATAATGATACTAGAAATTAAACAAAATGCAACCTGCAGGTGAGGCTAAATTCATTTGATGGAAAATATTAGAATTAAAAATATTGTTCATAGAAAAATGTCACAAAAAAGTGACAAAAAGGCATAATAATACATGTAGAACAAAAATTATTATGACTCAATTATTTAGATTAAACTTGTTGAAATAAATACCAAAGTATTCTTGAAATTCTTTCCTTACAAAATATCATATAAATGTGATGTACAGTTTAGGAATTCTAAAAATATAAGCATTGTTATTTGAAGATTTATTTAAAATAAATTATTCAAATATCCAGATATTTCTGAGTAAAATAAAGTATGACGACAACAAATTTAGATAGTTAGAAGTATCCATAACCAAATGTTCAAAGAAACAATATGTTGTGTATTATTTTAACCTTAAATCTTAAAACAAATAATCATATGTAATATTTTAAAATGCTTGAAATATTGGTGCAAACTATCTGATTGTCTGACATTATTAAAGATCTTTTCTTGCAAAGTTGTTGCAAAAAGTCATTCCTTAAATAATAAAAGAAAAGGTTCCTGCAACTTTCTAGCAAACAAATTCTTTCTTGCAACATTGCAGCAAACTTGCTGCAATTTTCTTGCAAACAAATTTTGTTGCAGTAACATTGCGAGAATGTTGCAGGTAGCTGCGACAACCTGCAACTTTCTTGCAAACACTTCTTGCAAACAAATTTGTTTGCTGCAATATTGCCGCTATATTGTTGCAATATTGCAGCAAACTTTTCATTTCTGTAAGGGCAGCCCACCCACCCCATTCTGTTTGAGAACTTGTAAACAGTCAAGATCCCCACCCCTAAACGATATATATTCTTGTATGGGACAACAAAACAAATCAAATGAAATATAGTGGGAGTCCCTCTGGGTCAGCACCACCCCCTCCTGTTTCATAACTTGTAAACGGTCAAGATCCCCACCCCTTAACCATATATATTCTTGTATGGGACAATAAAACAAATCAAATGAAATATAGGGGGAGTCCTTGGGTGTCACCCCCACCCCATCTGTTTTGAGAACTTTTAAACAGTCAAGATCGCCACCCCGAAACCATATATATTCTTGTACGGGACAATAAAATAAATCAAATGAAATAAAAGGCGAGTCCCCTGTGGTCACTCCCACTCCCTTCCTGTTTGAGAACTTGTAAACGGTCGAGATCCTCGCCCCTAAACCATAAATATTCTTTTTCGTGATTTCAAGAAGATTTGAATGACATACAAGGGATATGGGTAATCCCTAGGCGTCATTTATGCATACCACTATACTAGACCAAACCAATTTGTACTGGACTTTGCCCAATGTCAGGCGACCGTGTGAATGACTAATTATGGGAGCTTTGTTTGGGAGACTTCGTAACAGCATCCTGTTACAATTATTTCTTGTATGAAGTAAAAAAAAATGTAAAGTCGGAAAAAAAGTTAACCACGCAATCTACACATTTCAGGGTTGGCAAAGTATTACAAGTTTTGCCATTTTCAGGATTCCTTGTTAGTTTCCAAACTTTGTTTCAGTAATCCAATTTGAAACTTTGAAAAAATGCATTTTATTGCTGTTTAAATGAATTGTAAATCTTAATTGTTTTACAATTATATTGCTAAATAAACACCCTAAGGGGACAGGCCATGAACACTTATAAAAATCAAAAAGGCTGATTATTGTTATATAAACAAATCTGTGCTATAATCTGAATAATTATTTCTTAATTAGTGATGTACATAAACATATGCTAAAACTTAGTAAACATTTTTAGTACATGTGTAATGAACAAAAAATGTTTAAGAGTAATTTTCCTTACATATAATTGTTAATTCTTAATATTAGTTATATTTATCAACAAACCAAATTGAATTCTTTGACTATAAGTCAACACTTTGACCAATCTAGACAGAATGGCAATTAAATAGATTTTTAGGAGGATCCGATTATTTAGAAAAGCTTTTCACATTTGTCTTGTGTGTCTTCATGTACTCTTGTCTTAGAGTTGCTGGACAATTAATATTTTCTCAGATTTATACACTTGATATGAAGAGTCTCAAAAAAATCTTTAATGTATTGCATTTTGTGATTAATCCTCTTTAAAATTCAGGCCAGTATTTCATATTACCCAGTATCACCCGGTAAAACCCTGGTTTTCCCAGTATTTCCCACTGGGCTGGGCAATACTCATAAAACCCGGATTTTGGCCAACCCTGACACATTTACAACCTATTTGATATATTACAATCTACCGTTCCAAACTTTCCACAGGTGCTATCCATCACTTTGATTTGCTCAGTTGGCATGAATATTGTCTTTTGTTGAATTGTGAGTTCAAGATGAAGATCAGCATTAAAAGCACTGTTCCTTTACCTTGCATATATATATATATATATATATGTGTGCTATCTTTCATGTTCATGTATTCATTTTGTGTCCTGAGTTGATATTCTGCAATTTTCAATTTAAAGATTACCTCGCTTGCATGTCATAACAAATGATGATGCATAATAATAATAATAAGTAAATTTTGGGACAGCTTTATTCATAAAGTTCACATCTTTTATCATATAGAATTAATGGTTAGATTTAATAATTGTGACTTTTCATCCACTGATCACCATTTCTAATTTGTTTTGATAACATTATATACTGTTATAACTTGTATACCGTAACATTTAGAAATTTTTGATGTTATGATTAGTGAAATTGTTCAAACATCTTGAAATGCAAACTATTTTCAAGAAATTAGAACCAATCTTCAAATAAATTATGAACAAAAGATGAATGGTGAAGGCCTTAAATAATATATTGAAAGATAGAGATGGAAACATGATATACACTATACATCTGATACACAGACTTTTTTTTTTACTACAAAATTTATATAGAGGAGCAGGTTATGAATTAATGTTCACAAAAAAACAAGAGCCTCTATTAATTTTTTTCAATTGTGATCCAAAGAAGTGAAAAAAGGGCATAACATCATGTTTGGTGGAAACACTACAAAATATTAACTTGAAAATTTGAGATACAATGATACATTTGTACAGCAAAACACTTTTTAAACCAAAATAGGCTTTTAAAAGTATTCAATTTAATGATGAATATTATTTACTTAAAATATCATTAAAAAAATGAGATGTTGTTAAAATGACCTCATTTTAGAAATAGATGAACTAATTTAAGAACATTTAATCCTGATTTCTGCCAATAAAAATTAATGAAGTTCATTACTTTGCTTTATTGTTTTTTGGTAAGTGCATATTACCTTTTAAGCTACAGCATGCATATTAGTAACGTATAATACATGTACATTGATTCAATGACATTTTTTATCAGAATTGTCAACAAAATATTTTAAATTGAGAAAAGTCTCTGAAATACAGGACAATCATCACTAGTTGTGATTTATATATATAACACAACAGGACCATTGAGGAGGTGTATCAACAGTGACCCAGGGTATGTGATACAGCTTCTCAAGGTAAAAGACTATATATTCTTAAATCAGACAACTGTTTGCTGTGGTACCATAGCAGAAATGTTAATGAAAGTATGGACAATTTTCATGGTGAACAAAAAATATGGAAATTTATAAATCTTTCACAATTCATTTCTTGGCTTCTTTCCCAGTTACCAGAAGTATATTTTCCATTTTTTCATTAACATTTCTGCTATTCTGATTTTTCTATTAACAGAGACATCAATATCAGTATGTTCACATATTTTTTAATCTATTATGTTCTTTACTAACAGATGTCTGCAGTTTTGCCATATTTGTTTCTAGAGACGTGGAAAAGGATTTATTTCCTCGATGTTTTTTTAATGACATCTGAAATTTGATGACATTTCTAGTTTCATCTGTTTCGTCAAGTAGTTCCATACAAAAGTTCATATCACTTCTATGTTTTGGAACATCTGTCACAGTTGATGTAAGAAATAATTCCAAATAACAAATTTCAGCATTGACTAATATTATACATTTTATTTAAATGATAAAAGATAAGGCAACACAAAATTCAAAAAGATGTCACTTTTAAAACTATTCACTGAAAATTAATATATATATATACATTGTTAAATCTCTTATGCTTAACATGTCTATATAGTATATTACTTTATATTTCAGATTAATGCACTGCTTTAGAAATTCAGCAAGTTTTATAAGGTACGAGTCACTATGCATTTTTTTCAAGCTACAAGTAGGATCATTCACTAGAAAAGGAGTTTCTTGATTGAAAGAATTATCAAATTATAAGATATGAGATATTATTTTTAAGTAAAATATGAGAACTTATAATGTGCTTTCTTCAGAGCTTCTATTTTATATTGCAGGACATTTTGAAATCACAAATTACTATTTGGTGTGGGGATTTGCTGGATCATATATTTAAGAAACTGGCTAGCATACATGGCATGAATAGGCTACTGGAGAAACAGACTAGAGAGAGTACTGCAGATATGTGAACCATTTTGTCTATGGTGAGGAAAATATCTTATTGCAACAGTAAGGTATCGTATGTATTATAGAATTGAATGTATTGGTATTTTAATACCTGTATCTTCATCAAATAATTTTCTTTTGCTTTCTTTCTTGCAGTTGTGGTACTTATTACATCATCTATTTTCTTGTCTGTAAGAGGTATGAATATATATATATATATATGAATAAATGTATGCTGCTTGCACTGCAGACATGTAGATGTTATTTTAATTTTGATACACACAAAAAAAAAGACAAATTGCCAATGAGACAACTCTCCACAAGAGACCAAATGACACAGAAATTAACATACATTGGTCACCGTACTGCCTTCAACAATGAACAAAGCCCATACTGCACAGTCAGCTTTAGAAGGCCCCTAAATCACAAATGTAAAACAATTCAAATGAGGAAAACTAATGGCTTAATTAAAGTATAAAAAAAATGAATGATAAAAACAAATATGTAACACGGCAACAAACGACAGCCACTGAATAACAGGCTCCTGACTTGACAGACATACATACAGAATGTGGCAGGGCTAAACACGAAAGAGGGACCCCCCCTAACCTGTATATCCATTTATATTAACATTTTTTATCTGCTTCATTTGTAACTGGGTAAAAGAATATGAGTAATATAACTTCCCTTACAAGAGTGTATTTGATGATTTGTTCTAAATGATGTTTTTTTTTCTTCAATTTGCTAATTAATGCCATTTAAAATCTTAGATTACAAACAATTGTATGTACCTTTGATATATGATTTATATATGCATCTGACTTCTTTGTTTTCATCTTCTTTTGTTTGTTGTATGTCTAGTCCTTGTTCTGAAAAAAAATATTGATGGTAGAGTGAGAAATTTGGTATGTATATTTTATCTAGTTTTATTTTGATATCATTATGCCGTCTGCAAAACATTTCAAATGAACAGATTTTGCATGGACCAATTTCTAGGCTGATGGTATCTTTTCAGCAGATTGATTCACACTTACAGAGAAAAAAAAATGAGCATTCAACAAAAAAGATTTTTTTCTCAATTTTCGGACAAAGTTAAATATTTGACATGTTAAGAGAGTGGCGTACCCTACTTACTATAGTTATGTTTAACAATAATGCTGGGTGGTGCCATCTTTTCAATTGGTTTTTCTTCCATTGGTCAGGTCATTGAAATTAGTTGCTGTTCCTATTGAAAAAATAAAAGTTTAATAAAACATCTTATACTTCAGATGATAATTAGAAAAAACAAATAGTGCTAACTAGGTAGCTCAGATAGTAGAGCAACTCAACTGGTGTGTTGAGCAGGTCCCAGGTTCAATTCCTGGCCTAGTTTTTAATTGAAATTGATAATGATTAAATTTGTATACGCCTTTCCAAGGTGGAACATATTATGATAAAGCATTGTCTGCACTTCGGAAAATAACTGAATAACTGAAAAACTCACCAACTTCCATGAAACTTTTGATTTAAAACAAATGTATTTCATTTTAAAACCATGTTCACTCACTTTCAGTTTGTTGATGATCAGCTGTTATATCATTTATACTGTAGGATGTTGATGATTCAGAGGCAGCTTTGTCATCTTCATCAAGTTTTCCATCTGAAGATCAAGAAAAAAACAGAGTAAGTGTTACAGATTTGTTTTCTATGCATCTGTTTACCAGGTCCATGATTAATATCTGATATTCGAAAATGGGCTTAAGGTGGTATGGGTGTCTTAACTAAAAAAGATGCAATTTGTTCATAATTTGCCAAAATCTATATATAGTGTGACATGTTAAAAAATATAATACAATTGATGGTCACCGAGCATTTTCTCAAGCTACAGTTTGTGACAAAATGACACATTTTGTATGAATTATAAAGGAAAAAATATCATTATGTAATTAGAAGCTTAACTAAATGATAGAATTGTAAAACAAAATATGAAAAGATAGCTTTTAGAAAATGCTTTGACAATACCTAAAGAAAAGATAGGGTGACTACGTTTTCCAGCTAAAATATAAAATACCAAAATTTCATGTAATTCCTTTAGAAAATGCACTATTTCAGATATATAACCTCCCCTTAAAATGCAAATATAAAAACATTAAAAATCAAACAAATGTAATCTTCACTTATAAAATATTAATATAACTAAGTAAAAATCTTATAATATAAATTTGTTTTATAAATGAAAATTCAAACTAGTTTTCTGCATTCCTCATCAAATTTTGCTTATTTGATTAAAAATCTGGACCTTAAGTTCTCTGTTATTAATAATCAAAAGGGTGAAAGATGACCATACTACCTAAATAAGTGTTTCCACATATATCTTGTCTTTCCTAATTGTTATGTATTAATAACAAAAAATTGACCCTTATTTTGTGGTTCACTGAACAACAAAATTAATAGTGCAAGTTTTCTCTGCTTATTGGCTTCGTTTAAAATTGTTCAAGAATGTTTTTGAACAATGTTATGCATTGTTACGTGTCCAGATTATAGTTTTGATCAAGTTCATTTTAGATTTGAAAACAAATTGTCATTTTGGTAATGCCCTTATTTGTACCGAAAACATATATTTATGGAGAATTATCAATTACAGGAATTTCTGTTTTCTACCAATAATAATTTATATAACTTAAAAAACTTGCCATAATCATTAGTATCCATTTTATTAATATCAGGGTTTGATATATCATCATTATTGCCATTATTTTCAACTGAAAAAGAAAAATGAGTTGTTGCAAAATATTCTGAAAGGTATGTAAAAAAAAATTAAACAGAAAAGTGATTACTTAACTTTTCTACTTGTAAGAACATGTCTGCAAAATTAACAGGTAAGGTAATCTTTTTACTCTTATATTATCTTAAAAATAAAAATTGTTTAACAACTTCTAAACTACAACTTAATATTCTAAAATTGAAATGTATTGATCATAGACACTAAAATCTTATGACTTTCAATTCTAAATACCTTGGGGTTGAAACTGATGCACACTTGTTTTTTCCAAAACGATATTGTTTTCTGTGATGGAACTGGTATCATCTATGAAATAGAAATCAATTGTGAGTGAACATTGTAGATATTGAAGCTTTCAACCATTAAATATACTATATAGTAAATAAATAACTTTATGAAATTACATTTATATGTACAATTAATACCTTTATCAATTAAATCCACATTTGCCATAATGTATGTTAATTGACCATCATCATCATACAGTTTTCAATTTTGGTAAGGGCAATTGCAAAATATAACTTTTATATTTTGAAACAACATCATGCCAGACATTTTCTAAGACTTGCTGCTCTTTTTTTAAGTTTGAAAACCTGAAGTGATGTAAAGTAGGACCCTCGGACCTATCACTTGGATCATTTGGACCATAATGGAAAACAATGCCACCATTGTCAAATAACCACCATGTGCCTCTCCCAGCAGCAATAAAATCAACAATTCTCGTCTTCAAGAACTGAGCTGTAAATACAGACCTTGGGTGCTGTTTTAATAGCATTGCTTGCTTGCTGATGAATGAGTCTTGCATATGAAAGGAGTTCTGTTTATGATGTCCTTCCTTTTGTTGGTAATTGAATCTAACAATACAATTTTCAGCAATATTTCCTGGTTGCCTGTTAGTGGTGTTTCTTGAGATTCTTCTGAGTCACCGAAACATCTCTCCTGTTCCTCTGTAAGGATTGACCTCAAAGAAAATATTCTAAATGCTTCGGCAAGATGTAAAGTTATGCTATGGAAGTGGCTCCCAAAAAACTTCCTTGCAGTCATTTTTACTGGACTGCAAAAAATGGTTCTACATGTTGCAGCAAATAACATTGTCTGGTTATAGAGACGAAGTATCAGTTTTGGTGTTCTCCCTTCGCTAGGCAGGTAAGAAATATTTACAATGTCCACCAGCGCATTTACCATTTGTTTAATGTTCTCATCAATGTTCTTTTAAGAGTTTATTTCATCAAGAAATTGAGAAAGTTTTATCAGAGCTAATCTGGCATCTGATCCTCTAATTTCATTTCTTTCACCATTGATGGTATGGGAGAATTGTATTAACTTTTTCTGGATTATAGAATCTTTTATTTGGTAAGGAAGCTCTGTAATTACATTTTTTATCATATTTGCCAGGTCATGGAGTGGTTCAAAGCAGGGTATTTCATAATTTTTGATGTTGAGGTCATGAGACGTCATTTTTGAATTTGGCAGCATCAAGGCAGGTGGTTTTCCAATACCATGCATTACAGAATTAAGTATATCTTGAAGATCACCTTTCAAGGAGCAGATAAATTGTACATGTCTGGCGTCACGCTCATCCATAATTTCATCTTTCTTAAAGTTTCGTAATGGATTTAAGTTGCCATTTTTTCAATTTTTCCAGGGTTATGGAAGATGAAGCCAATCTGCATCTGTCATCCAAGTCTAGTACCTTTGCATTAAAACAGTGCATCAAGTTTGTGAACTCATCGGCTTTCACACCACACATGCAGGGATATTGTCCTCCGTGTTGTTGGCCGCTTTCGAATTGCCTAGCAGGCCCATTTCCACTAAATAGTCTTAGACAATCGTAAACCTCAATGTTTTCATGATGTATTGGGGAAGTAATATTTCTCAGATCATCAACTCTACTTTTCAGGTATGCTGCTTGTTCTTCATCACTACTTGCTAAAAATTAATCATATTTTTTAAAAATTAATGCCACCCTTAAAGAAAGTGCTTGTATGTTAAGATAGGTCTGTAAGCATTTATTTTTTGGGGGATAACAACACAAGTTGCATGTTTTGGACACAAAATAAATGTGGATAGTGTTCACATGTGGACACAGATGAAGCCCCCGCTTGCATATCATATAGTTATAAAGGGACATAACTGAAGAACTGTAAAAGTGACGCTACCCAAATTTGAACTTGATCTTAGTTTTGTGGTAATGAATATTGTGTATAGGTTTCATAATGTTTGGTTGGGGCAAACTTAAGTTACAGAATGGAAACTAAAAATTTTGCAATCTTTCGATGTATAAAGGGGCATAACTCAATAATGGTTAAAGTGATACTACCCAAATTCAACTTGATCTGTGTTTTATCAGTGGAAGTCAAAATTAAACATTGCATTGTATACAGCATTGATTGTAGTTGATTCAACTATAATCATGGACAAAGGAAGATAACTCCAATTGAAGAATTACTTGATATTTAGAAGAAAATAAAAATTTTGCAATTTTTCCATTTATAAAGGAGCATAACTCTAGAACGGTTTAAGTGACGCCACCAAAATTCAAACTTGATCTGTGTTTTGTGGTTATAAGCATTGTGTAAAAGTTTCATAACATTTGGTTGAGGCAAACTTAAGTTAAAGAACGGAAACTAAAAATTTTGCAATTTTTCCATTTATAAAGGAGCATAACTCTAGAACGGTTAAAGTGACGCCACCAAAATTCAAACTTAATCTGTGTTTTGTGGTAATAAGCATTGTGTATAAGTTTCATAACATTTGGTTGAGGCAAACTTAAGTTAGAGAATAGAAACCAATTTTGGGACGTACGGACGGACGGACGTACGGATGAACGTACGTACGTACGTACAGACGGACAAGGGTAAAACTTAATGCCTCCACCGCTGCGGCGGGGGCATAAAAACAAAGCTAGAGCAGAAACACAAGTTTGAAAAAAATTGTAGCCAATTTGTGTGTTGCACAACATCATGAAATTTCTCTTCTCTGCAAGTTGTAAGCTTACAAAACTTCAGTTAACTTTTATTGATAATTATGTATCCATATTTTATAAGTCAGTAGTTTTAATTTTCAAAATTTTATAATTGTTTGCATCCTTGAATTTATACTATTGATATTGCAATGGCTATTGATTTTTAGATTTAAAGGATTGCAAAATCATCCCATAGGCTTGCAGATAATCATCGCATTTTTTTGACATAATAATTACATCTTAATTATGGTGGACCTGATTTGTTTTTTAATTGTACATGCCAGTTGAGTATAATTGTTAATTTTTTATTTGTATCTTAGATTTTCAAGAAGTATTATAATTTTTTGTTTTGTTTAATTTTGCAAGAATCATGATTTTTTTCATTGTTAAAGATGTATTTTTATATAAACAATTATGTTTTATTTCGTACCGGTAGATTTATGCTGGATACCATTCCTTATTTTCTGTCTTTTATTTCAGGTGTGTTTCTTGGAGAGTGAGGATGATTTTATAGAGTTTCAGAAATAACATGTGTGATAAAGTGGATACAGCAGATTGATCAAGTACAAGTTAACACCAGTAAGAAATTCATTATTTTAACTGTTTGACTTTTCTTGAAAACTTAAAAATGTCTTGCCAGTATTATCAATGCAACTTAGTCATTTTAAAGCAAAATTTAGAAAGTAGGGTACAAGATTTGTATAATCAACACCTTCCATTTTCAACCTAGATCCCTGAAACTTTACAGGAAGCGTGCACATGTGTTGAAGTTGGTCTGCCATTATGGAATTCTGTGACGAATTTAATTTCTGTTATGGACCTAGAAACATTATATATACTGCAGCTGTACTATTTGGGCAGTCAAATTGCATTGACCATATATTTATATGTGATATAAAGTCACTGACCGTATATCGCCTTGTTTATGACGTTGACAATGCATTTCCATAGAGTTTTCTTTATGACGTCAATAAAACATACAGGTTCGCGGAAATTTTAAGTCGTCCGCTTCAAATTAAAAATAATGGTTTTTACCCTAATATTTCATTAAGAATAGTTATCAGGTTATAAGACTTGCAGTATATAAAGAATAACTATACATTGTCTCGAAATATAAATATTATTTGTACTCGGCTCGAAACAGGTAGAAATGTTGACACAGCCTCGCTTTCTTCCTGTTTCTAAGCCTTGTAGAAATAACATTTATATTTCGAGACAAGCTGGATTTGTTCCTGAAGGACAGACATGCGTATCTTGTCAAGCGATATTTTTCGACTTTAGATGACCTGTTTTTCCTCAGTTAATGTACCAGAATTTGTAATATTAGTTTTGATGATGTTTTTAGGAGCTATAGGTTCTTCAGTATCAATTTCTCCAGATTTTTTTTGGTTGTCAATATCCCTCTTTAAATTTTTGGCAGATCTTACAGCTGGTACTGAAACTCTCAATTTTTTTGTAAATAATAGATTTCCTTGCCCTTCATTTACGCCTGGTGTAATCATTACTTGCTATATGTGAATTTGTTTTAAATTTTGAGACATTTATCCCTATGTTAAGTGTATACGCCTTCAAAACCTGCCCTGCATTTTGAGGACTTTGCCATTGATTTTTAAATTATATCTTCTGGCTAGCAAGGACCAGTTAACATAGCTGCCTTCAAACTTTTCCTTTATTTCCTTTATGAAACATCTTTTGTCGAATTCGTAGTTCAAACAATTACCATGATGTTTTTTTGGAATTTTTCCATGTTGTTATTTTGAGATTAAAACATGTAGACTTGAGGCTAATAACCTATAACTTAAATTGTTAATGGCTGTGCTTTCTCTGATGAAAAAAATATTTTGAAACTTAAAAGACTAAAATCAAAGAGTTGCCATGCGGCTTTATATTAATTTTTTTAAACAAATTAGCACACAAAAATCAGAGAAATCACATTCATCATTTTGATAATTTATATATAAGTGATTCAATCCATAATTAAAAACCAATTGTTCAGAGAACAATTGAAGGTCTTTCCACCAGTAAGGATCTATTTTGATATGAAAATATTTAAATTTGGTTTTGAATGTCAATTTCAGCGTCAAATGACAGCTTATTGAACGCTGATTCCAAAAATATATGGTTTCTATACAAAAAAATATAAGAGATAATGTTTTACTTCAGGTTTAAAAGATGTTACTTTCGGTATTGTTGATAGTTTAGTTGACACTGATTCCAAAAATATATGGTTCTATATAATTTTACATTAATTTAGTACAAGAAATAGCTACTTCCGGTTTACGAAAGGTCACTTCCGGTTGGCTTTTTCAAGGTCACATTGCTTGCAACCTAATGCAATAAGTCCCATGTCTTTATCATGTATACATATGAGGTAAAAGCAAAGGTCAAAATCTAGAACGTTAAATTTAAGTATGACCTTGAGCTCAATTTCAAGGTCATAAACCAAGGAACTCAAATCAAAAGACTCTAGGTCTTAATTATATATGATAAATGAGTTATATCACCATACGTGTATTTTTTAGATATACTAGGGGAGAAAACTCCCATTAAATTTCTCCGTACCCTTTCAACTCAAATTTACATGTTACGACATGTCGCAACTAACAATTCTGTAAAAATATTTTGTCGATATCTTATAAGATTTCTGAAAATTAGTGATAACAAGCTAAAATCAAAATTTTGAACATGACCTTGACCTTTGACCTTGACCTCATTTTCATGTTTTTGGACCAAGGACCTCAAATCAAAAGACCCTAGGCCTCTATCACTTATGGTTTTCCAGTTAAAAATACATTTCACTTATATCAAATACAAAAGGGGAAATAACTCTCATATGGAATCTCTATACGGCTTCGGTCAAAATAAAACAGAACATCCTGAGGATACAACGAGCAATTTGGAAAAATAAATTTGTTGGTTTCTTATGCGGTTGCAAAGCCTTAGAGATAACAAGAAAAACAGTGTTCGGGGAGATAACTCTTATATGGGAAAGTATTCGGTTAAGCGGTGTCAGTTTCAAAAGCGTATAAACTGTTCGATATCATATTCCAAATATCTAAGCGATATCTTGCAAAACAAAAATACAGCGAAGGAAAAAAATTAGGCGGAAGGAAAAAAAAAATAATCAGAAGAAAACCAATAGGTCTTTCCACGGAAAAGTGGAAAGACCTAATTAACATGTGTTTGTATGTTGAAACTGATCACATATCTTCTTCAATCTTATCACATACAATATGACCTGTTGTATCTGAAGCATTTTGCCAATGTATAACAGTGGTTTTATTGTCAAAATGTGGTTTTACTTAGTCCCCAATAGCAGAGCTATTCAAATTTAGGTAGTAAAGTTTTTGTGGGAATAACATTTTGTTTTTCTGGTTTCTCCATTCTTATAGCTGTTCAAAATTTTGTTTGGGATAATGGAAGGCTCTCAATTATTAATATTGTAAATGTATGTGGGTGGTTGCATTTTCTTCAAAATCTTTAACAATGACATTCTGAATTAAAATTTGTAAATTATTGATGGTTAGAATGCAAAAGAAGGGCCTCCCATAATCCAAACAGCCAATTTTGGAAATTGCTCTAATGTTCTTGGTGAAAAAAAAACTTGTCATTTTGGCTTACAATTGCCTTAACTTAAAAAATTCCTGCCTCTGACAAGTGTCAGATGACATATGTAAAGATCAAAACATGTTGTGCACTTCAGAATGATTGAAATAATGAAAAAAAATAGTTTTAAAGTTAAAATTGCATATTCTTTGAAACACACACAAACACATGTTTATCAATTTACAGCTCTTTCCATAATGCTAGCAAGACCAAGGTTTGTTTGGCTTGCTTGCTTTGTTGTATCAATGTTTGTCAAAGCATTGTAATTAAGAACTGTAAGATTGACATCTGAAAACAACATAAAAAGGAGGATTTTAACTTGTAGTTGTATACATTATATTTAAATTTGGTTGGACATTATCAAATAATCAATATTACCTATACTCCGCCTACTTATATTAAACAAAGAAAACAAGGTAACCAAACCTTTGTTTTGCTAGCATTTTGAAAAGAGCTGTAAAAACAATATTGTATAAATTTGGTATGTTATTGTGAATATAATTATTTCTAAAATATAGCCCGTTTACGGGACGTTTTATGGTATACCTCTGTCCGTCCGTCGTCAACATGTAGGACATTAAAACCAATTTGCATAAAACTTTGGTGAATTGTTTATATCTATTGATATAAGCTCCCTTTCATCTTTTATTAATTTAAGATTTTATTTTTAATAGGAATAATGAACTTTCTTTGAATTTTTTGATACTTTGCTTTTAACATGCATTCATCTTGCCTTACTCGACTTAAGACAACAATGGTGAATTGACTAGACATTACAACAATTTATGGATGAGGCTTAGATATGGGGAAATGTATAAGAATTGGTGTGTAGCAAATGAAATACAATACATTTCATTGTTGTTATATATTATTCTCTTTTTGGAAAATATATTCTATAATCAATTATGACTTTCCTTGATGCAGATTATCTATAGAATGTAAACTTTAGGAAATTATTTTGTTTTCTTCATGTTTTTACTTATTTATTTGAGAGTCAACATTTTTATTTTCAAACAAGTTAATTAGTCTTAATAGTATAATGGTTGGACTTTCTTGATAATAGAAAGAAGAAAAAAATTCTTTCTCTGATGATGATTTAAATGACAAACTTGACTTGGTTTTTGTCTCGCCTTGACTGAGTCAAAAAGCAAGACATAGGTATGCTGTTTCTGGCGTCGGCGTCAACAATGTATTAGTTTGTGATTAGGTCTAGTTTATGGTGAAACACTAGTGGTAGGTCAATGATATTTGGTATGCAGTTGTATTAACATTGGCACATCTCATCACCATGGAGATTATTTGGCCCAACCCCATCAGTCATGGTCTATTGACTTTAAAACTTTTTGCTTAATTGTTTACACGTATTAGTTTGTGATTAGGTCATTTTATGGTGAACCACTGGTGGTAGGTCAATGCTATTTGGTATGCAGTTGTATAATCATTGGCATAACTTATTTCCATGGAGATTTTTTGACCCCAAACCCTCAGCCATAGTCTATTGACTTTGAAACTTTTGCTTCGTTTACATGTATTAGTTTGAGATTAGGTCAGTTTAAGATGAACCACTTATGTTAAGTCAATGATATTTGATAAACAAATGTATTGGCATTTGCAAGTTTTATTTCCATGGAGATTATATAACCCCTCACTCTCATTATGGATCATGGACTTTAAAACTTTAACATAGTTTACATGGCAATGTTTGTGTTTAGGTTTGTTTGATGGGAAATACTTGTGAGATTTCAGTGGTTTTTGGTATACAGTTTTATTAGTATTGGCCCATTTTAATTTCATGGAATATATTTAGACCTGTACCTTCAGTCATAGTTCATTGACTTTGAATATTTGCATAACTTGCATACTAAAGTATTTCTATTTTAATTTCAACATTTGCATTATCAAAATTACAATTAGGCGAGACAGTTAACAGTTTATTAAAATTGAGTTGAAGTATTTACATTGTCAAGTTAATG